GGAGGTACCGTCTCCTTTTGCTGTTTTTCTTCTTCTTTTACTCCCTAACCGTCGAGGGTCATTAATACGTAAGCGGATGGACGCGTCACCCCTGCGTCCAGCCGTTTGCATTTTCCCGTCACCATTCTTGCTTAATATTTTCTAATCCACAACTGCTGAAGTCGTTCTGGGCTTTCGGTCCCGCGAGCGCACAGTCTTGTGTGAGTTTTCCACGCTCGCCTACGGAAAGCGGTGTCCGTATCTGAATTCTTTGCCTCCAGTAGTTTTCCCCGGTAGGTTAGGCCAAGGGACTGAATGTAGGCGGTTCCCTGTGCGAGTTCGGTGAGGTTTAAGATGTCTCCCGTTTTGTCTTGTGTTTTCGGCACTCCTCCTTTTGGATGAGTCGACTGTTGTCTCTCACCGAAGCTTGCCAGTGGGGCCTTCCCGTTCCCTTCCCACTCGGTGTGTTCAGGATTTCCGTGTGACTTGTCATGCCGTTTCCCACCTCGTCCTGCGGCTCAAGCTGCCCTTCCTGGAATCCCTCACACTGCCCCCTCTGCGCTCGGCCTGTCTTTGAAGACACGGCCTGGACTTCCCAGCGTTCCCCGAGCCAGGACCCGCCCCAAACTCTTCTCTCCTTTGTGCCCTGCCTGTGCGTCCCCTTCGGCTGTAGAGCTGCTGAGTGGTCCTTTCGCGTGCTGACTGGTGTTCACGGGTCCCTGCCTCGGTAACAGTACAGGGCAGGATCTGTCCTTTGTGTGTATTCCCATCTTTTGCCAGGATAATGCCTGTGACTTAATAGACACTGTAGATAGCTCCTGCCTCGCTGACTGATAGTGTGAACTGCCAAGTGCATGAGTATGATGGTTCCTCAGGTTTGTGTTTGTTTCATTTTCTTGTGTTTTTCAGTAAGTTTCAACACAGCAGGAAAATGCAGTGGAATATGTTACTCATTCCCTTGAAGATGCTGCTGAGGAATCAATTGTGCAGGAGGAAATCGCATTTTATGAAGGAATTTTTATGTTTATATTTTTTTTCTCTAGCGTCGTTTTGATTTTTATTGTATTATATAAACCTACCATTGATGAATTGTGGCGGGTGTTAGTGTTATATCCTGCATTGTATCCATTTCTTAATTGATTCCCCCTCGATTCATTAAACCCATCTTTATGGCTCAAAAATGTGCGATTTGTGTTTTATAGATTCTGTTTGGATTTTTAACCTATGTTTTCTCTTATTTCAGAAGTATTTGTCATACTGTTTCGATGGTTTTTTTTTTATAATTGGATGTTTTAATTTTACAGTGATTCTGACAAAAATATTTGCTTAAAAGGAATAGTGTTTTTTTTGTTATTTTTTCTATTTTCATCTCTTGAAATTTAAAACATGTGCTTGCTTCCTTTGAAATTTTATGTTTTCAAGTAGAGCTGCAGGGACATTTCAGGAGAATGAACCATATGGTAAGCAACATGAGATATGTTACATTCTTATACCATCAGTTGATGCAGTCCTGCTCTATTCAGGGCCATCCCTGATTATAGGAATGGATTCTATTCCTCAAACTACGTTAGCAGTATGCACTGTTTCCTGTTTTAAAATGTATCTGCCCACCCCATCCCACATCTCAAGTGTTTTCTCACCCTTTATGTACTGTTTTTTACTCAGTTGAATTGTCCTTGGGGCCACACTGCAGATTTCCAGGGGCCTTTCTTTGGCCCACGCCCTCCTCACCAGCCCTCTCTCATCTCATCTCTTATCTGTGTTGGTTTCGTCTGACTCTCTGCTTCGTCAGCTCGAGTGAGGGCGTCTAGTGGACCCTCCTACCTCTGTTCCCTGTCCCTGTGTCACGGCCTGGATATTCTCCCAAGGCTGTGCACTTGGGCATCCATTAGACTCACTTCATGTGTGTTTAGGGATCACTGTCCTTCAGTGCCTGAAGTCCTGTGTCTTGAAGATGGTTTTTTTTCATGTATTTTGTCTGTTGTGGTTTTGCTTCTGTCAAGGAGGCAGGCCCGTCCGTGCCTGTTCCTCCACGTTGGCTGGAAGCCGCCTGTGGGAGGCCTCGGGCACGCGGTCTAGGTTGTCTGCTTCCTCTTGGGCTTAACTGCTTCCTGCTCATCCTTCCTTCCCAGTGTGACCATCTCACCCCTGGGGGATATTCCCTGGGCCCAGTCTAGACCAAGCCCTGTTACTTGATCATAGAGCTCTCTTTTCTTACAGTAGCTATCTGAATTTATAATTATTTTATTTGTCTTGCTAGTGAGATGGGAATTGGAGAGCAGGCCCACAACAGACCCACTACCTGCTGCAAGTGTCAGAGCACAGCTCACACCTGTCCCCTTCAGGCCACCAGGCAGGGAGAAATGTCAGAGAATGGTTCCTTTCTCATCACCACAGGACTGTTTCTTTCCTTTTGTGTTGGGGTTGGTGGTGGTAATAAGGTTTATTTATTCATTTCTTTATTACTTTTTTAAACAGAAGTCCTGGAGATTGAAAGAGGTCCTGGTGTTGGAACCCTCGACCCCGTGCATGCTAATCACACACACTACCATTGAGCTCTACCCTCCCCCCAACATGGCTGTTTGTAATGGACTCATTGACATGTTCCGTTTTAGTTCATCAGTAATTTAATATTTGTAGGTTTCTTCCAAAATGTATTGACGCTTCATTTTGAAATGAGGTCCCTCTCTGTAAACATAGGCATGGTCCATAGGATTCTTCACAGACGATGTCCCCGTCTGCAAGCGGTGCTGGAATGAGTAGACTTTTTGCCAAAGTTCCGAGTGGTCAGGATGGGAATCACATTCGCAGAGAAGTGCAATCCCACAGCATTGAGGGCATAGTGGGAGTGTTGTCAGCCTGGGAGATGGGA